AGCTGTACAGTGCTCGCACGGTAGATATGACTTGATGCTCCTGCAGCATGGGTGGTCCTGCGTTTGATTTTATACTGCCACCTATTAGCACCACGAGCTGGTGATTTATGCAGCTGTCAGCTTCAACTTCATCAGCTCCGTCAGCCGCTGGTGAATTGTGGGTATGCTGGCAGAGCCGACCCTCCTTGCACCTCCTACTCTGGGGCTAAAGTAAACCACCCCTGAGAGCAGAAAGGAAGAAGAAGAAGAAGAAGGAAAAAAAAAAAGCTGCTGTTAAAGAGAAAAATAGAATGTAGATAAATAACAAGCATGCAGACCACTGAGGCCTCCTCTGTGGAGAGCTTCCAGCCCAAACATCTGGCCGGCTGCGTATAAGGAAGAGACTGTGTTTGGATTAAAGCAAGGTGAGAAAGGAGGAATTCATGGTTTGAGCGGCCAACTAACAGTTGAACTACTTGGAAATCAGTCAGAGGCGGGGTTATGAAGGGCGAGCGTTAGCGGGAAAAAGAAATGGCCGCATTCACGACAGCAAACTTTTCTAAAAATACATAGGTACCGCGCTCCACGCTGGGCTCATTTGCGTGAGAAAAGAACGTTTTTAGGGGGAAAATCTGTTGAAAATTAGTCATCGGGGTGAGCGGTGAGTTATTCTGCGTCAGGTTGTACAGCACAAAGTAATGGAAACTGTGGCTAACAGCTCTTATTCGCTGCTGGATGAAGAAAAAGGTGTTATTCCCCGTGGGCAGAGCGGAGTAATGGCCTTCTGTTTTTTTTTTTTTTGCTTGGTTGTAATGAGGTTGCTTGATTCATGCCGGACCGGTGCTTCGAGCCAATTTCAACAAACACAGGAATGAAAGGAAGGTGGACGCATATGGGTGATTTACCGTATTCTTTACCATAAGGAGCGTATTAGCAACGTTAAAAAAAAAACAAAACACACGCTTGGGCTGCTACCGTGAACGAGCTTCAGGATTAAAACTCTGATTTGTGGAAAAGGCATCGGGGCTTCCAACGTGTCAGGGGCTAATTGCTTTTACTGCAGTCGCAACTCAAGAACGTCAAACTTTATTAAACACCTGTTAGAATAATACTTGTCGCGGGGAGTTTGTGGGAAAACGTCCTGTTGGATGGATGTGAAAGGAAATAAGATGTAGTGGTTTAGATCAGTGATTCCCAAAGCGGGGTCCTTCTAGGATCCGTGGAAAAAACTGTACAGCAGCCGGATGAAAATATTCCAAAAGAGCATCGGATTTGATCTTCACTGAATGTATTATCACAACAACCGGTTGCTTCCAGCTGCAGCAGGATCGTTCCGCCCATCTGAGTCAGTTATGAGCGCTTCAGGCCATGAAGCTGCATGAAAACTGCTTTGCATGTGAGCCGAGAGGTGGAATTATCAGCTGAGGTTGTGGATAATTAGGTAAAATAATTGCCTGTGATTAATTAAAAAAGTAATAGATAAATAGTTTAAACTGAGCCGGTTTCTTTATGTTGTCTGTAGCTTTGTTTCCGGTGCCGCTGCCGCTCCGACTCTCCCTGACCCCGCTGCTCAGTTTGCCTTGACATGCAGCTGTCTTGTGTTTGCAGATCCTGGAGACCTACATCGCAGATCATCGCAGTGAATTGTTGCTGTTGGCTACATGCAGGGTGTAACTGGTGGTGAAGGCCTCTCCTCGGTGTAAAGTGGTTTGCTTAATTCATGCCGGGTCAGAAACAGAGGTCATACTTTTGAGATGAGGAAGAAAAAAAAAAAAACACGCCTGCTATAAGGTCACACGCTAACGTTCCAGCTGCCAGAAAGTGCGATCAAACGGTTCCCAATTAGAACCATATAATTTGGTAACATTATGATATTAAAGCTGGGAGCTCGGTTTTCCCAAGCAAAACTAACTTCACGAGCGGCTGACCATAATTTGGGGTTCCGTTGCATTTATGCAGAGGGGTAATGGTGCAGGAGGAGATTGTGTGCATGTGTGTGTGTGTGTGGTGCAGGGCTGATAGGAGTTGCTCCAGAGACAGAGAAGTATTCTGGAAAAAAAAAAAAAAAGAAAAATGGTTGGTAAGCATTCAAATATGTTTGGCCCAGAAGCAGCGTGACTGGAGGATGAAAGGGTGGAGAGGAGGTAGGAACACGGCTGCTGTGTCACCGGGGAGGCTGCTCGGCTTCTCACCGGCACTGTCGGGAAAAAATACAAAAAAAAGTTAGAGGGAAGAAAAAAAAAAACCTTTTTACATTCATCATACAGACTGAGCATACAACAGCAGTGACTGCTGTCAGTTGTCATGGAGACAAAGGGAAATAAACACAAAAACAAGGACAACAACTTGTTACTGTGGAGGAAGTAAAGCAGGCAGATGGGATGAAGAGTCTCAGCATCCATGATGTGGTTTAGAACAACAGTCGACATGTTTTGGGGGGAAATAGTTGAAAATCGATCCCCTGTTTGTATTTCTTAAATATCCCATCAGAGCAAGAAGCTGTTTAGCTTAGCTTAGCATCAGGACCGTAACCAGATGGCCTGGCTCCGTCCGGAGGTAGCGCAGTCTGCCCAGCCGCTTACTAATACATTGGCCCCTAAAAGAAACTATATAAAATCCACATTAAAGTGTTCATATGTGTCCTGTTTGTTTTTTAGGGCGGTTGCTCTTATTTCTGACTGTGCGCAGTTGCCAGGCAACCAGAGGGAAGACACATGAAGCTACAATGACAAGGTCCGTCGGACAAAGCCTCCGACTGGTGAGCTGTTGTTCTTAATTTAATTATAAGAAAACAAGATGATTAACTGATTAACTGGGGAGCTTTAATGTTCTGGTTGAAAGATTTTTCTCTCTTTTTCTAGTCTTCATTCTAAGATATGCTAAAAAACTGCTGCTACAACAATACAAACGTGGAAATGGTAAATTTTCTCTTTGAATTATTGAAAAAATATCAAAGTATTCCCTTAAAACTGAACCGTCACCATCACAGAGGTAGTTTGTGATCACTTTTTGATGTTTTTGAAAACCACTCGCAGCTTTGATTAATAATTAACTAACAGGATACCAAACAAATCGCATTACAGACTGTTTGAAAACAAGAAAATGCCAGATTTTAGTCTCAACAAGAGAGCTGCTTTGTCAGGTTTTTAACATCACGACTCGTCAGAGCTGCAGTGGGACCCTTTATTTTTCTTTAACACGTGAATCGATTCCTTAAAATGCATGTGCGGCACCAGAAAGCAAAGTTTGCTCAGTTCAGCGAGGCGTTGTGACCCTTCGAGGCCCGGGTCGCCAGCCAAGCATACGAGGGGAAGGATGGGACGGAACAAGAGGGAGCGAGGATCCACGGCGAGGCCGAGAGGCGGCAGCAGCAGCAGCAGCCTGAGCCGAATCCCCAGAGATCTCTGGCTGTCTCGCTCTGTCTGTTGACACTCTCCTACTCCATTGACTTTTTCATTAACCCCTTATCAAAATGTTTTTCTCTCCCACACTCCACTGACATTAGCCACATTCCCCTCACCTCCCCCACCTCCCCCCCACCACATCTTGGTTCAGCTGTTCCCCCTTGTGGACACATGAGAGACGTCTTCAACACCAACACGTTTGTTTTTGTCGTCTGGTTGTCCATCTGATTCTCCTGTTTTCCTGCATAGATGATATATTGTTATGTAATGAGGGCGACAGAACAGCGAGGCCACTTTTTAAGAGCTCTTTGTCAGAGAAACACATTTTACATTCAGTGAAATAATGACCGAGGCTTTTAAATCCTACGACCCTTCGTCTCAGTCAGTGTAAAATATAGACCCATACAAGAAACCAAACCTGTGAACATATTTTATTTGGTGCTGAAAACTTCAACTTGGCCAAAATAACTGATGGCTTCTCACGTATTTTAATTACTTGCAACTGGCGGAGCGGCCAAAATCAATGTTTTCATTGGCCTGCATTCAGAGTTGTGCGCCTGCTGCCTCTTCCTGCGACCATAAGACTGTGTTTCACTCTGACTTGAACCCCGGCGCCTCTTCCTCCTCTCCTGTTTGGATGGACGTTGATTTAAACAAGCCATTTCTAAATAATAAAAAAAAAGCCGGGAACGGTTACGGCCATCTCTTACTGCAAGGAGAACCTTAAATCTGTCAAGTGCTTCATAAATACCGAGGCCGAGTGAGCAGAGAGTGACAGAATAAATGCAACAGTTAAAAGCATTTTAGTTTATTTTACCAACTTTGTGGTCTGTCTCTCTCTCCGCAGAAACTCCCTTGGCATTAGTCTGAGCTGGGCCACTTGTGCCAGCTGTTAAACTGCTGAAACATATGGCTCATCGCTGGTCTGGCTCCAGCTGTGTAGGTAAAACACACACATATAGCACCCACTAGTGGCGGCGAGGACAACATGAGACGAGTGTAGAAGATGCAGATTGGGATGGAAATGCAGTGAAAGCATCTAACTGGAGCACAGATGGCAGCAACATGCACTTATATGCACTTGTTGCATGTAATCAGGACCATTTCGCTAAGTCTTATGCATACCGGAGTGTAAAGCCGAGTGTTTAAATGAAACTCTTCTCGCTGAGGTGTGATGCTGCTGCCCTCCGGGTTCAGCGGGCGTGTAATAATGAGCAGCGTCAGGTGTTCAGCCGACAGCACATCGCCGGTTTCCGTGATGATGCGCCGGAGGAGGGACGCCGATAAGGATCCACAACTCATCTCTGCAGCTCCTCCCTTGTGGAAAATTAGATGTTTGCGTTCCCATAATATCAAACTTTGACCTAAATATGCAGAATCTTGAACTCTGAGTTCTGCCAGAAACTCTTAATTTAAACATATCAGCTGCAAGACTATTAAGTAATAATTTAATGGGCATCTTCATGTGTGTGTTTACTGATTTTCAGGACGACAGCAGGACAGACAGTCGATTCCAGCAGCGTAATTAAGAAGACAGCCGTGAAAAATTTGGTCCTCAAAATTCTGCCCAAAGGCGAGTATGATCCTGTGAGCTAAACAAAAAACTGTGCACACTGGTAAAGAATAGACTGTTTAATTATCAAAATTCATGTACAATTCCCTGAAGCAACAACGAGTGTCTGATACAAAGTGTGGAGACGTCGGTACAAACGGCCTCTGCTCAGATCAGTTCATTGCATCTGGAAAAGGTTTCAAGAAAAACAGCTCTGTGGTGCAATTTGTAGTTATTCACAGAGGTGTTCTGTGAAGCTCTTTAAAAAGAAATCACATTACAGTCTTACTAGTTGGATTTCGGTATAAGCAGGAGGGATACGGATGATTAAACTTCGTTCCATGGAGTACAGAAACGGAGAACAGCGATGCGAACAGGCGACGGAAGACACCGGGAAAAGACAGTGGCAGCAGAAACATGAGACTTCTTAGATGAGGACAGGCGAGGCGGCGTTTGAAGGCAGTTCTATCCTCCTGTCACAAACAGATTTTAACCACGTGGCCCCTTTAAACGAATAGTTTGGTTTCTCTGTAGTGAGGTTAAAATGAGCTCCTTATCCGGTGTGATAGCTGCAGTTTGAGAAAGGCTAAGTAGTGCAGCACTGTGAAGGAGGTCAGCAGCAAAATGCATTTCAGCAAAAGAAAAAGATTTAACATCTGTTCAAGTGTACGCTTTGTTTAGAACATCCTCGCCACTTGACCACGCCGTCAACAAGCGCTTTCCTTTGCATCTCCTCAGCCGTAGAACTTCTGTGTCCTTCGTTACACCTGCAGCACAACACAATGTGCGAGTCTGGTGCACAGGAACACACAAGTTTTACACAATGCACAGGAAAGGATTGTCTGCTAGCGAGGCAGAGCGCTGAGGTTACACCAGGTACTGGAGGTAAACAATATGCTTTTTGCTGCTGACCCCATGCACAGCGCTACGCTGCTTAGCTTTCCTGCCAGCGCTCTCCTCTCTGCTTCTTCAAACTGGGTGACTAAGGACCTCACACAACCCCACTTCAAAGAAACAAAACCATCCTTTAAGAGACTTGAGGTGCTGTCGGGAAGCTGCTTGAGAGCGCTCAGAACTCCTCCTCGGCGTTCAGACTCCTGGAGGTCTTGAGCTGCTTGAGACGCTCGATGCACTCCTCCACGCTGCGCTCGCCGTGGACTTTGTTGTCCCGGGTGCGTACGTTCACAGTGTTGCTGGTCTTCTCCTTCTCTCCCACCACTGTTCCCACACAGGGGAACATGCAAAGACGAAAACAAAACAAAAGGAAAAATCAATATCCAAGACGGACGGCGAGCGAGCGATTAGGAGGGAAAAGTACAAACGGGAGTGAAGTAAGAGTGTGTGTGTGTGTGCGTGTGTGTGTGTAGGTGTGTGTGTGCTGCCACTGACCCAGGATGAAGTTGTACTGCGCCAGCTGTGCGTTTCGGATCTTCTTGTTCAGGGTGCAGCCCGGGTCCACGTCCACGTCCGCCATGAAGCCGCTGTTGTGGAATTCCTGCCTGACCTGCCACATTAACCGGAGACACGACCGACAGCTTAGTCCGGGCCAGCATGTTCTGGGAACTAATTAATCTGCTTCTACACATTCTGTTTTTGCAAATTGGAATCACATTCACACGTTGGACAAGTTCTCAGTTTGGACGGAACACGGATTGTATTTCTGCACCCGTTAGCATCACAGTTTGTGGAATTAACTGTGGGCACGAAAATCAGAATTGTGAAGCTCGTCTCCTGCACATAAAGCCTGTTGGTGTCTCCAAAAGAAAACTAATTGAGTGTACTTTTATATCACTGGCCGTTAGGTCTATAAGTTGTGGTGACACGAAAAGTAAGAATGAAGAGAACAACAAACAAACAACCAGCAGACAGGATGTAAACAAGCCAACGAGTTGATGGAACGTGTTGGGAACAGAAAACTGAAGCAAATTGTTTTTATTAACCTGCTTGATTGGCTGTAGCTGCGCCTTTAGTTTCAGTTTCTCTAAACATCTTACAGCTAAACTGGGAGCTTAATTACAATTTGTATGATCTGCTCGTGTCGGTCGAGGGCAGCTGGACGTCTTTTTTGTTGTTGGAGATGTTTCACTGTTCATCCTGAGTTTAACCTGCTCCTGGTGTTAATCATCAACCACAGCTCACAAGACTCGAGGTGCGACTAGCGATGAAACCGCCAGGAGGGGGATGTCAGGACGGCATTATGTGACTTCCTTTGCTCCTCTTTTAATCCAGAATCCCACATCGTACACTGCTGTATGTAGCTGAGACTACAGAACCTCTCCACAAGTGCATGGCACAACACGGGAGAACCATCTCCTTAAAACAGCCTGAAATCCTGTGAGCTGGGCGTGATAGTGGTACCAGAGCTCCACACCAGTTAGTCAGAACCGAGGGAAACTCTTGGATGACAGAACGCCTTCAAGAACCAAGAAGACGTCCAGCTATCATCTCCAGAAGCACTGACCACGACCTGGAGAGTTTAGGAGACTAGAACTTGTTGGACCAACTGCCTGAGCTGATAATAAGAAAACAAACTAATCTCTAGTTTTCCTCTAAGATGCATTAAAGGGCCTGTTAAGTACTCTGTCTGTGTTCTATCTACGGTAGATCACAGCCAGAAAGGAGGACCGACCTCCTACTGAACCAACGTACTGCTGTGGATCGGGTCGGAAACAAAACCTACTTTAATCACCTAAAACGGGCCCAGCTGAAAAACACAAACCAATCAGTTTAAGTGTATGTATTTATAGCTGCTTAGCTTCCATGCTAGTTTCTCTGCCTGCTTCTCCAACCTGTGCACGCTGACCGTGATCCACTATAATTAATATAAATACTGTGGATAAGTTTTTATTTATCACAATAATTCAGCATTTGTAGAGACATAATATACATCTTTAAGCACTTTTACATTTAAATAACCAGATCCCTGCTTTCCCTTTTTGCTACTTTCCTGCTAATGTAGAAATCTTTGCATTAAACATGAATTTAAAAACAGGCTTCTCCTCTCGCCGCCTCACCTCGGGGCGAAATAGAAATAAAGCTGCACCAAAAACAGCTCACTTGCTAAACATCTGCTTACTGATGTACAAGTAAGCAATATTTCCTAAATGCCAAACATGCAGCTGTGCAGAGAAACCTCCCCACTCAGTCACTGCAGCGCCGCAACTCAGACAGGTGTTGGACCGAAAGCTGCTTTGAAACGAGTGAAATCAGATGTTTTAATGATTTACCGGAGCTCAAACTAAGTGACTTTGTCCATGTGGGATTTTCTGTTTCGTTTACAGTCGTGACTCGATGATCAGACACTAAATGTAAAACCTTCTTTCATGTCAGATAGCAAGGCTGTCGGATTGTCCAGACGGAGGTCCAGATACGAGGAGGGCTTGATGCTGGAAGGCTCATTAGTTGTTCATTATTGTTCATAGTTGTTATAATAACTAGTGTGTTGTTAGAACACTACGCATCGCTGGATTTCAGCCTAACTGACCGGGGCGCTTGTGCTTGTGTACATTCCACCCCGGGGCAGCGCTCTGACGGGGTGGAAGTGTTCAGAACACACAGGCAGTACTTGGCTGCTGATGCTAGTTTAGTTAGCGCTCACACTTCTGTTTCCTCCATCGGTGGCGGCGGGGGAGTGGCAGATACGCTCCACCGTTACCATCCATGTTTACTTCCATAAACACTGAGCACGCTCGCTGCGTGTGACGTCGTCGTGTCCTCTTCTGCGCATGCGGGACACTTTTGGCTCGTATGAAGTTCACACAGCAGATCACATACAAGTCGCATTGAACTGGAAACATGAAGGAAGTCACAAAGAAATCCTCATTGAGCATCAAGTCCTGCAGTGTGAACGTAGCCAATCTGTGGGATTGTTCAGTCAGATAATACGCCGTCATCCTGATTGGTGACATTAAATGTCATGTCGGAGTCACAATCCAAGGCTGTCTCTATGTTAAGGCTGTTTTTATGGGTTCTGTTGGTTTTTCCTAAAAACCTGTTGGATAGCAGGTTTAGGATTGTTAAGGGTCGATTATAGAGTCACGGCTGTGTTTTAAATGTCAAAACCGTCGTTATTTTAATGTGCAGAGCCAAAATCATGATATTCAATTAACTGTGCATCCTTGAACACTTCATACAACTGCACTTCAAAGAAACCCTTCAATAAGAAACAGAAGAAATGGCAGTTTTGCTCAGCAACGTAAATCAACGTGTATTTTACAGCCAGGATGAAAAAGGCAGCTGGATGTTTTTATACAACAGCAAAGTGAGACGATGCTGTGATAGTGGAACAACACAGGCTTTGACAATACACAGGAGTGATAAAAACAGCTTCATAAAAGCGCTTCAAAGTCAGTAAGTGTTGGAATAAAGTGCTTGACAGCTTTATGGTCCTCATTGTACCGGCCCTGTAATGTGAATATGTACTTAAGCGGCCGAGGTCAGCGTCGCTTACCTTCTCAGCGTACTCCTCGCAGGTCGGTCCCACGGGTACGACCATCACTTGTCGAGGGGAGAGCCACAGCGGCCTGGACAGGACGGGACAAATTTGCATTCGGCTGATTAGTAGAAAAACAGGCCTCACGCAATCTGCTAGAAACCTGTGCAAATATTTACGCCCCCGCGGAGCCGAGACGCTTCTATTTCCATCCCGTGAATGTGGAAATCATTATCAACGCTCGGAAACGACCGCAGCAGAACAGAAATGTCAAAAGTCTGGAGTCACGACGAATCAACCTTTAAAAAACGGATCGTTTACAAACCATTTGCCGCCGTAGTTCTCGGTCAGGATGGCGATCATCCTCTCCACTGATCCCAGGATGGCTCTGTGGATGATCACGGGTCTCGTCTTATCGTCGCCGTCGTGGCTAAAAGGCAAAAAAGGACAAAATAAATCAATGAACAGATGTAGAACTTAGTAGTTATAATAGCAGCGCTATGTTGTTGTTTATGTTTAACAATTAATAGACAGTTAAAAGTGTGCAAGTGCTGCTCGTTTACTGCTGTTTTTGTTTTTTACAAGGTTACTATCTGTAAAAAAAAAAAGCAAAACTCCAGCGGTGCTTTTGTTTTGTTGGTCTCACACATACAGTCTTAGTTTCTGGGAATAAGCTTTAATACAAAAACATTCGTCTGTAACGTGTGTTTATTTGAGTCTGTTTAATACGGCGTAACGGTTACCTGACAAAGGTGAGATTGAAGCGGATCGGCAGCTGGAAGTCGAGCTGTATGGTGGCACACTGATGGTATCGACCAATGGCGTCCTTTATCTGAATGTCAATCTGCAGACAAAGGACACGTGTGATCAGCAGCCCGCTCGCCGTTTCACAGCTTAACAGCATCATTACGGCGGCACACGGCTCACCTTGGGTCCGTAGAAAGCGCCGTCACCCGGGTTCAGAACCCATTTCTCTCCAAAGTCGTTCAAGCTGTTCTCCAGTTGCTGTAAAAAAAACAAAACAAACAATCGCTGCTTTGTTACGATATCGACGGCTGACCAACACGCCGGTAAACAGTATTCAGAGCTGACATTTTCTTCATCTGGAACTAATCGCCCAACTGAGAAATGTTAACGTCTCAATAATACTTTATGGTTGCTTGTGGGGCTTAATGAGGTGAAGGGGGGAAACACGCAGCAGCAAGTTCTGTTCCAGTCGCTATGCCAAGTTTACAATCGTGAATATGATTTTCCACCTTTGTGCGCGTGAGCATTAATCACAAACAGTCAGCGCTGAATTTAAAGAATGCTTTCCTCAGAGATGCTTGTACAACTCCCTATACTCTGTGTATCAGCAAAGTGTTTAATATTTAAATAGCTCCTGTGGCCACTGCATTGATTGATAATGAAATAAGATGTTAAAAACAACATCCACACCCAGCAATGTTTGAAACCGAGGCCACTGAGGACGGAGCAGTGACACCACCGACTGCAAAACAGGAGCAGATATTAAAAGGAGCTCTTTAAAGTTTATAAATACCCATTAATTGAAAAATAGAAGGGCAAAGAGAGCCGGTAATAAAGAGTAAGTACCCTTTTCTGCCTCCTACCCCGCTCACACCTCATAATTTGTCATTTATTCAAGTATGAACGTAATTACAGTCCCTGGTTATTTGTCAGCGCCTAAAACCAAAAAATCACCAGAACGAACGCTTTCCAGCGAGACATCCGAGGCGAGCAGAACCGAGCGTTTCCTTTTAGCAAAAAGAAAAAACAGAGGATGCATTTCCAAACTCCAGAACATTTCTGACACCACGCCGCAGCCAGCAGTAGATTAAGATGACAAACACCACGCCGTCGCCGCCGAACGAACGACGACGAGACAATCAATATGATAAAAATCAATGAAGTGGGGGACGGACGGGCGCAAAAAGCATCGGCTTGTTCTGTCAGCGGAGAGTTTCTACAAAAAAAAACAAAACCCAACACAACAGGGGAAAACAAAACAATCAAACGTCTTCGCGGCACAAATCGAGTGCGCGCTGCAGATGTAATATTTAACTGGTGAAGTAACACACCTCTACAATCAGATCGAGAGGAGAACAGACGCCAAAGACAACCTCGACCGACTGTAAAATCCAGCAAACACCTTCCCATCCGCTCGGCGCCTGCCAGCAGAGGCTTAGCTGACTAATAAACAATTTGTATGTCCTTCATACACTGGAGCGGCTGACGGTATAATCCAGCATACATGTGGCACCTTCATCAAGCGTCATTAGAGAGTGACTCAACAGATTCGACTATTAGGCTTCAAGCTGTCCCGGGAGGAGACCCCTTCTGTGGTACATCTAATACCGAAAAGCACGAAGCAATAAAGCCTCATTATAACTCAGTCCAAGTCACTCGCTCTTGTTATTATTTGTTTGTGTTTGTTTTAAACACAAGCTGAGCAAATTAGAGCTGAACTACTGATGTAAAATGTGGAGCCGGTCTTTAGAGAGCAAACTTGATTTGACAGCGACGGCAGGCAGCGCCGATGTGTGGATTGATTCTCTGGAGAGGAACCGAACTAAAGGCAGAGAGAAAACTCATTAAAATATAAATGTTCTCTGGGTCTACAAATCTCACTCTTCTTGTCTGTGAAGTGGTTGATAATATCATACATCAGCGTCCTAGCTCTCCGGTGTGTGAGCGGCGTTCATGTTTTTGTACGACAGGGCCTTCCGATTACCTTCTCAGCTTGGTCCCAGATCGCCGGCTCTCCCAGGAACTTCTCTGGTCTCGTGGAAAGGTTGAGCTTGAAAGTGAAGCCGAAGACCTTGTAGACGGTCCGCAGGAAGTCCAGGCAACCCTTGATCTCCTCCTCGATCTAAGGGAAATAATAGAACGTGACAGGATTTGAATCGTCCATGTGGAGAAGGTCACAGGTTTAGTTTCTGGTGTGATGACGGCACAAATCAGATGAAACTACATTTTATTTGATGATAAACTGCTCAGTTATTTTCAAAAAACACTCCCAGAAACACTTTGTCCACTTCCATCACATGTGGCAAACGATAAGCTTTGAGCAAGCAGTTTAAAAGTTAAGGACATAAAACACTGTGAGAAACGGATCGCTCTCTCAATCTCTAATCATGGATTGTAAATTCAATGGCGGCCGCCAGATAAGAGCACATTTTCTGCAGTCTGCTTTCCGTTTGCTTGGATTTCGCAGATAGTGAAAGATAATACGAGTACAAGCTGTGCCTTCCAGCTGCTGCAACCAGGGAGTAAATTAAAAGCGAAATAATTCATGTACAATCAAATAATTAACCATCCAATCCACCGCTATTACTATTAAAGAGAAAACAAGATCAGTGGGATCCCGGCTGCTGTGTCAATACGTCTGAACAAACTACTCGCCGTTTCCCAAAATCCTGTGTGTGTTTGCGTCGATACTGGCGATGCTGTTCTCTGGTCAAAAGACTTAACTTCCAAATTGCGACGTCGGGCTGCAGACGCCTGTGGAGTTCTCTAAACTCACCCGAGAATGTGACAGAGTGTTCACCGACAGCATTACCTGAATTTATTCAATAAAGTGTGTCAGCGAGGCACTGATGCACCGAGAGCCTCGAAACTTTGGCTTCCTCCAAACAGGCATCAGTGATTCTCCACCACAAGTAACTTCTCTACAAACTGTTTACCACCATCTGCTTAACGCTGTTTAAGTGCTTTTTCCTGGATACGTAGGCGTTGAAGTTCTATTGATTAAATTAAAATGTCATTTATGAAAAGACGTTCAGTGTTAACTGTGGAAAACTCTGTCTTAAAGGACGCTG